CCCAAGATGGCTAGTTCTCCATAAGGGTGTGTTTGGAATGGAAGATTTTAATGGCTTAATTGATATCTTGATAAATAGAATGTCTCTAAAAATGAAGAAAGGGCCATTTAAATGTTATATTGGCACCTATTTTGTTATTCCCTCAATTGTTATGAAAACGTCAATTATATACTCCATACATATTTGGCTCTCCAAAGCCTTCCTTCCAGACCCTTCCAAAAACCCCCATCCAAACTGGCTCCAGATGAATCCCTACTGACGTCTTTATAGTGTGATACAAAGGGATGTAAACAATTGATGACATTTTATCAACACTATTAACTTAGCTAAAATTGAAGTGTGGACCAGTGCAGAGTTCATTCTCATCATAATATTTTCCAAGATGCATAATCCGAATTCTTTTAGTGCACATAATTTTCCTCTGTATTTTTCTTTTCTTGATATATTGCAAAGTTTTTTTAAAATGCAATTTCTTTTCATAAAAAAATTGTGTGTTCGTGTGTAATGCAGTTTTTCTTGATGATCCCGGTAGAGTTTCTGAAGTGGGTCATCATTCTAGTCACTGGCAGTGTATCGGCAGCCTTTGTTGCATTAAATCTCAAGAACCGCCACATACAACAGACGAATGATCTTTCTCTTGTGCTGCTTGCTGCTTTTGTTCTCCAAATGGGTCTGGCGATCTTCATCAAGATGTGGTTCTTCCCTTAGCCCCCCCTTTGTTTTTCCCATCTTCAGTTCTTCGGCTGTAAGTTGTGCATTTATTGAATAATAATAATAATAATAGTAGTAGTAGTAGAAGTAGTAGTAGTAGTAGTAGTAGTAGTAGTAGTAGTAGTAGTAGTAGTAGTACCCATTAGAGTTGGGCTTGGAACTATTTTCTAGCAGTTTGCATAGCTATGGATTCTTCACTTTGGAGCGTCAATTGCTTGTTGAAGACGGTATTTTCCTACACATCTTATTACTTGTAATAGTGTTTGCTCCAAGGTCTAAACAAAGTGCTTGTCTGTTTGTTTTGTTTTGTTTATATTTTCGTCACCACATGCGTGACAAACTCGATTGCTTTCGGATTGTATATAAAAAATGCTCCTAATCTTAGCTAGGGTCCATAAATGTGAATTGTCTCTGCCTCTCTGGCACGTGCAAGGACTTCATGTTATCCATAATTATAGTTTTATGAGACGTTCCACCACAAGGTCTTTAGATATTTTGTTGGATATAGCATCAATACTCTATTCATTTTGACCCTTAAAAGTTATAAGCAAGTCAATATGGGATATGTGTCTACTCCCTCCCTCCATTTGATTCTTCACATTTCTCATTTTTTGTCATCCCATTAAATTCTTTACACTTCTAAATTTAGCATTATTAAAATGATAAAAAGTCTATTTTATCCTACTTTATACTTCTAAATTTAGCATTATCAAAATAATAAAAAGTCTATTTTATCCTACTTTATTCGTGTCATGTTTTCTCTAGCATCCCACTTTTATTTTAACCTACTTTTTTTGTTGAAGGATTTTAGTAATCATACTATTAAGGGCATACATAAAAATAAATATAACGCCTAAAGTGTTACTCCGTATGACTTTTTCATTGTCATGAACCATTTGGGATGGAGTATTGTTTTAATGTTTTGAGTCTATTGATTCTTTCTTTCCAATTTTTGGGGGAAAGTTTACACAAATACTTCAAAAAAGTAGTGATTTTACAAAAATACTCTCAAAAGAAAATATTAGCATTATTATTCCAAAATTTTATATGATGTTCCTGGAATACTCCTTTGTTAGTGGAGTTGAATCTTTTGCTTATTTTTTATTATATTAACTTGTCATTTATATATGTCGAATTTAGATTTAAGTTCCATAAATGCTCCTCTGCCGGATTCAGATCAACTTTGTTGGAATAACATTTTTTATTAGCGTTAGCGTTTTGTATAAAATTTAAATAGTGTAGATTTATTTTGAAAACACTAGCGCTAAGCCGCTAAGACTAACGTCAAACAATTTTTTCAAAATGTTAATGCTAACTTCTAAAGCTAATACCAAACAAGGTCTCTATCTAATATTATCGTAATCTAAACCAAAAGTATTTAATTCTAATTTACTTAAATTAAACTTGGACACAAACTAGATTTTATTGTGTTTAAAATGCTTAAATTTGAATCAAACTCGATATGTTGTCATCTATAAAATACAATGTCATTTGAATGGAACCTTTCTGTAAATTTTCACCCCTTTTTACTTTCTTTTCTCAATTTTCCTATTAACCCAAACACTAACACTATTTTACTTTCTTCGTCTCAAGTTAACTTTTTTGCTTTTGACTTTTGCAAAGATTTAATAAAAAATAAAATTTATATTAAAATTTACGAACAAGAAAATGTGAATCATTCAAGATATATTTTAAAAGAAATACAGAGTAATTGTTTTTTAACAAAAAAATGAAAGTAAAAAGTTTGTTTGGGACTTTGGGAGTTTGATTTTGTGATGGGCTTTCGCCGTAATGGTTTTTCTATGTTGGCTCGTTCAACACCGAAAGTCCGTCGTTCACTCGTTTGGAATGAAAGAACAAAAAGCGTATGAAAATGGCAAAATCAAAGCGGGCATCGCACTATTGTCTGAATTCGATTCTCTCTACCCGGAATGAGAATTGCGATCAAGACTGAACTTTTGAGACGAATCTCGTCTTGTTTCTTCATATCATCTGGTGTTCTAGGGTTTCTGTTTTGCCATTCCTGCTCTCTTAACCCCTGCAGAAAGTTTCTTGGGAGTGATCTGAAGATCTGAAGAAACATTCTCGTTTCTTCTTCCTTTCAATCTCCGCCTCCTCCTCAAGAAAGATTCAATCTTGGTGAAATATAAACACACACACACACACACACACACACACACAGAGAGAGAGAGAGAGAGAGAGAGAGAGAGATGGCTCTGTTTGGGAGCCCAGGGACGGTGAGTGGGCTGTTTCTGAGGATAGGGCAGTGTGGATTTGCAGCTGCTTCGGTTGTGATAATGGCTTCTGCTTCTGGATTCTCTACTGCCACTGCTTTCTGGTTCTTTTTTTTCCTTCTAATTTCTTTCTTTATTTTCCCCATCAATTCTTATAATTACTCATATTTATGTCTACATTTCTATATCTTGTTTTTTATTTGTTGGTATTCATGTAATTATTATTGTATATCGTTAAACATAATATAATAACAAACCCAGTAAAATCCCACAAAAAAAAGTAAGGTATGGAAGGATCTCTGCACATTGACCTTACTCCTACTATGAAATAGTGAGCTTGTTTCCAAGAGAGCATAAATTCCGAAGTATGAACAAACAAATCTGCGAAGCACGAATGAAGTACAAATTTAGACAAAAAAAAGTACACAAACCGACTCCAAGAATTTAACATAAAACAGAAAAAAAGCACACAAGCACATAATCACAAACTGCAGACTAACCATAGTTTTTCTAATATACGGTCACTTAACTCATGTATGTGCACTTTGGGGTACCTCTCACTGAATTGAACTAGAAGTCGGAAGAGCATATGATGTTAATGAGGAAGAAAAATCATGTGATGCGGGGTTTTGAATTGCGAAAATATTTAAATTTTGGGCTAAATTTAACTGATTGAATGGGTTAAACCTCAAAGCGCTAAATCTAAAGCACGAGTGCTACATTTTTTTTAGTGAATGTAGTAACCTCACAACTTACTTATATGGTTGCTCTGCTCTTTTATAATGCCTCTTTGGTTATTGCTTTGAAGTTTCTTGATTGTTGATATTGTCATTGTGATTGTCTCTTTGGCTACAACAACAAAACCTGGTATAATCCCAACCCGTTGGGGTTTGGGAGGTCATAAAAAGTAAATGAAGTTTGATGTGTCATTTTGCTTCATTTCATTATTTACCCGAAGCAAAAACATTGTCAATAATGACTCGTCTAGCTCCATCATTGATATCATATCATTGTGATTGCCTCTTTGGCACAGTTACTTAATTGCATCGATGGGGCTTCAAGTTCTGTGGAGCTTCACGCTGGTTTGTCTTGATATCCATGCATTGCGGTTGAAAAAAGATATGCAAAATCATGTGTTGGTGAGCCTGTTCGTTGTCGGTGACTGGGTACATGCTCTTCCTACTCTTTCTACTCTTCAAAATTTCATGTCTCGTAACCCACCCTTTTTTTAACTGGCCATTATGACTTTCTTGATACTTTAAAAAAATGAACGAATGAAGACATGATGTACATTTCTATTCATTAAAATTTGATGTATCACAACAGTTATAAGACTTATAACAGTCAGTTGAAGGTGAATCGAAGGAGTAATTCATATACTACCCCCACCCCACCCCACCCCCCACCAAAACAGGCTTGTTCTTGATCTAATGTTAGGGTATGTCTGTATGTATATGTTGGGTATATATATATATAAATACATACAATCCATTCAGGTGACGGTCACCCTATCACTTTCAGCGGCATGTGCATCAGCAGGAGTGGCCATCTTGTTCGACAGGGACACAGTGATCTGCAGGAGGATGGAGAAGATGTCGTGCTCCATGTTCCAAATATCAATCGCTATGGCATTCATCTCCTGGTTCCTCCTTGCCGTCTCTTCCCATGTCACCTTCTTCCTTCTTGTCGCCTTTGCTGCATCCCAGCAATAGAATGCAAATGCAATACACTCACTCTCTGATGATCATCATATTCTTGACTTCCCTTGTGAATAATAGAGTAATTTATATTTTATACTACTGGTTTTGGGTGCCCTTGTAATTGACACTATTATACACTTTCTACTGAGTTTTTTTTTGTTCTATGAAGCTTTTTGATCCCTTGTCATGGCTGATCTGGGCTGGAGTAACACTTGAATATTAACACTATGTTTGGTTCAAGGAATTTGAAAGGGAAAAGAAAATGATAAATAACTTTTCTTGTTTGGTTAAAGAGGACAAAAAGTGTGGAAGAAAAACAAAATTAGAGGAGAATGAACTAAGAAGAGAGGACAAATTTACTTCTATTTTGGTGACAAGAAAGAAAGGAATCTATTTTCTTTTGAATCTGAATTTCATGAAGCAAATATAGTGTGAATAACTTACATTAGAAATAACTAAAGGTTTCTTAAACTTCTTTTGAGGATGAAGTATTAAAAGTTAATGTGAGAAAGAAAGGTAACATAGAACCTCAAAACAACACTAATGAATACTCATAAAAAGTAGTCTTTTATATTTTCTCTGTCCGAGATTCAATTGTCTACTTTGTTTTCATTTACTCCGTATAAAGTAATTGTGTACTTTCTATATTCAATAAAGGGTGTTGCTAAATTCAGCTTTTTTTGCTATATCCACCACATTAATGGCAAATGTCCAATTTTATCCTTAAGCTAACTCACATGTTTTTCCTTGTTTTTACACTTTAAAGATAAATTTGTCATTTTTTGACAAATGAGGTGGATATAGTAAAATGAGGATGAATTTAGCAAAACCCGTCAATAGAAACAATTATGATGAATTGTTCAAAATATCTTGAATCATTTTGGTCCAAAAATAATCTAAATAATTAGGAACAGCCATAATAAAGTATTTATAAAGTATAAACCTGATTGGATATTTGCAGGTGAATAATTTATTATGCAGATTGACACCATTGAATGTACATTATAACACCAACAAGCCTATCACACAGCTTTATAAACTCAAACACAACTTCGCAAAAAGGAAAGGAAACAACAGGGAAAGGAAATTACATTTTTAAAAAAAGAAAGAAAAGAAAAAGAAACAGCCACATAACAGAACACAAGAACAACACATAACATGCTGGAAGTCACATAACGATCTCTGGCTTCAAGATGCTGGATTTGATCTCCTTGTGGGGCAAGACCACGCCCCCGTTACTGTATATCTCGTCACAGACATGAACGTCCTCCCCGAGGATGGTCATGTTCTCCACGCGGGCCCACTGCCCGACCGTGGAGTGCCACCCGATAATGCTGCTCGAAATGCAGGCGTGCTTCTTGATGCGGACCCCACGCATGATGGTGCAGCGGGACAGCCTAACCCCGGCCTCGATCGTGCAGCCCGGCCCGATCGCAACGTCCGGCCCGATCAAACACCCCTCCCCGACTTTTGCGGTCTCGTCCACGATCACGTTCCCAACAATGTGGGCCCCGGAAGCCAATTTGGGCGAGGCTTTCTTCCTCAGGGAGTCCAGGTAGAGTCTCAGCCCGGTGATGTAATCCTTGGGTTGCCCGATGTCCATCCAGAAGCCCGGAAGGACCATGGCAAAGAGCTTCTTCTCTGCTGCGATTTTCGGGAACACCTCTTTCTCAATTGAGGTGGGTTTCAATTCGATTCGGTCTAAGACCGAAGGGTTGAGAAGATAAATCCCAGCATTAATCTTATTACCAACAAAAGTTTTTGGCTTCTCCACGAATCTGTCCACTTGGCCGGTTGAATCTTCCATGATAACAACACCATACTTTGAAGGTTCATCAACCTATATCAACAGTGTGATGCTTAAAATTAAGGCTCCCCACGAAAATATTTTCTGGGATTTCTTGTATTTGGAACAGGAAAATGTTCTGGTGTTCAATTGTCACCATAAATTGTTTTTTTTTAAATGAAAATAATTTCATTGATCATCGGTATTTTGTAAACAATGACACCGTGTTCTGAAAAAGGAAGTCATTTTCCTGAAAAAAAGTTTAAAGCATGTTTTCTATATGTGTAGATCAAACATTTTTCAATATTATGTATAGAAAAAATTCTTTTCTAGGAAAATATTTTCTTAGATAATACTCTCCTTAGCCCACAATAAGTTATTTTCCTGCAACACAACGGATTCTTAATGTCAAAAAAAAGAACTTTAGGATCCCGATCCGAAAATTATGTAAAAAAACAAATTTTCATGGGAGGTGTAATTAGAGATTTACCTTTGTTACCAGTAGAGAAGCCTCACCTCCATGTGCCTTGTGAAATTCAATCATCTCTTTGAAAGGGTATTCACTAATGACATCACTGTTAAGAACAAAAAATGGCTCACCAGACTCATCTATCAGCTTGTCCCTGGCCAGGGCAAGGGGACCCGCCGTCCCGAGCGGTTCAGTCTCTTGTGAACAAGTGATCTTGATCCCAAGCTTTGATTCAAAATCTTTCAAAAAATTCAGCATCACCTGCATAAAAAATGCCCTTCTTATCAGTCACGCATTAAGGGCCCATTTGGTAAGGGTATTTGGCTAAAAATGGTTAAATCTGCTGACTTTTCTGAAAGGCATTGATAACAATTAAGCCAAATAAGAATATCAAAGGCATTAATAACATTTAAGCCAAAATAAGAAATTAAGAATGTAATCAACCTCAGGCTGGTAGTTAATAGCTAGAACCACTTCAGTCACTCCAACTTCTTTAAGTGCCTCAATCTGATCATCACAAGATTTAACAAGAATTAGAATGTGAAAACAGAAGCAAAATGATTTTTTTAGAATCTACATTGCTTTAAAAAAAGAACGCCTACCTGATGCAGAATCATAGGTTTGTTGGCAAAATCAACAAGCGGCTTAGGGACACTCAGGGTCAATGGCCTCAGGCGAGTGCCAAAGCCTCCAACAAGAATTAGGGCCTTCATGTTGAGAGTTTGATGCTTCTGGAAACAAAGATTTATGTTAATACTAAAAAAGGAAATGGAAGGCACATGCTACAATTGGCTAAGTTCACCCGTATTTATCATAGCAAAAAGGAAAGAAACGTGTACAACTATGAAACAATGTACAGACATCTGTAGGCAAGAGATGGTGATCAATGGCTCATATTCACGCTTGAAGAAAAAATAGCAAATGACGGTCTAACACGGCACGTAACATTTTGAGATTGACACATCTGTGCGGTTGCATGGCTAAGTGGGAAAAAAAAGAAAGAGAAAAAAGGAAACTATGACAATGTGCTGAAACAGAAAGAGACCTAGAGTCCAAATTCCAGCTATTGGACACGTCGGAAGCTTTAAATGGGAATTGTCACTAGATGATGAAGCTTCAGTCTCAAGTGAGCTTCCAAATTGAATAATGGTTTAACTAAAAATAGGTGTTAGAAGTTGCAGCAAATGTAGATCCATTGTTATATAATGCCAATTGAGTAACATTTGCTAGATGTAACAGAAGAGTTGCAGTTTTAGATCCACACACAATTCAAAGATACTTCAAAATATTACTAAGAAATTCATAGTTCCCTAAATAACAGAAGTAGATTATAAACCAGATCCTTCATGACCCAGCGAAATAGCTCAATGTGTTCATCTTTCCTTCAAATTTTAAAGCTTTCCCCAAAATCATTACAGGAAGATCACAAAATTTCCAGATCCGGGGATCCATAGAACCAACTGATCCCACAAAATACGATTGAAACACAATAGCATTTCCTAATAGACAACAGATCATTGCCCATTTTAAGGAAATGAAACACGAATATGAACCCAACGAGCAATTGGAGCACCAGATCCAAAGCTACATAGCATTAACAACCTTATTTTGTGCTATATATAAATAGAATACCACAGTCACAACCCCACACCAAATCAAATCCACATTACCAAAATTCCCAGTTTAAGAAAAGAAAAGAACAAACAAATCAAAGATAATAACTCCCAAATCACTCAGTTGCGCAATTATCATCAGATCCAAATGCACAATCAAGAAGTCGGGACGCGGGCAAGTCACAATTCAGATAATTCACCTCCAACCAGGCTCAGATCAAGTGCAGGATGCCGCGTTGGGGGCGAGTCGACTCGGTCCAGGCCCGAGTCAATATTTTCCCTCCTTTTTTGACAAACCCCCCCGCAAACGACGAAAAAAGGGGGTGCTCGTCACACCCTGTCGCCCCTCTATAAAAACTCTTGATTTATTTATATATAAATATATACACAAGAAGGATTGGCAGGAAAGGGTGCGTATAGGCCACAAGAAATTACAGAAGACGGATGGAGTTTCCAGCCATGGCGGATTTCGAACCGGGTTTCGTTCTTAAAGGGGACAGAACAGAGGGGGGTTGAAATTGGGATTTTTCTTCTCCGCTCCAATTTTCACGGCGTTAAGCAATGAATGACCACTCTATCGTTCTATCAACATCTGAGTTGGCTGTGTCCCAAGAAATTAATCACAAGGAAAAAAAATAAAAGAAAGAAAGAAAACTATGCACAGAATGTTGGCGTCACCGGCGGTTTGTGATTGGTTGGTTTTATTAATTAGTGTGTGACAAGCAAAGAATCTACAAATGATACTATCATTATTATTCATGACTTTCTAAATAATAGAAGCCGGGAGGTAAGACTCGAGTTCGATTTCTGTCAACTGCGATATGAGACAATTATGTTAGGCATTGGAGCTCTGCAAGTACCGCAAGCTTCACTCTTTGTCACCAGTCTGCGATTAAAATCCAATTCACCTCTTTTCAGTGACCGATCGGCCGGGTCTGAGGGAGCCCTCAGAAATGGAGCTTATCCTTTTTTCTCTCTAAATTATAAACAACAATTATTTATGCATATAATTATTGCTTGCATGTGTCCATGATCTATTTGGTGTGCTCCTAGTAGAATCTTTGTCTGAATTAATGATTTATATTATACTCCCTCTGTCCACCATAGATCTTTTCAGACACTATTCACAGGGTCAAACTTTACTCACTTTGTTCGCTCAATTTTACTAGTCATTTCATAAAATAATATAATCTTGTTACCTCTAGTTTTGTGGAACTTTTCATTTAGTTTATTACTATATAAATTTTATTTTAAAATTTTACTCCTATAATCAATTAAATTGAATTAAAAATAAAGTCGGTCAAACCTCGTAATGCGTAATGAGAAGATCATACATGGACGGAGGGAGTATATGTTTTGAAATCTAGATAAAGAAAATGATTGAAAAAATAATGATTTTTAATAATAAACATGAATGAGAAAGGATTTTGAACTTATATCTCCTGATCTCACTAAACGAGCCTTAAAAATTTAATCTTTTTGGATTGGACATGAAAAAGTAAGCCCAATAACGAGAGCAACGAATTTATTTATCTTTTTTCAGTGTTAGTAACTCGATTAAAATATACTTCGTATTACGGAGTACACCATTTTAATAGAGCTAATAATACTAAAAAAAGTTATCCGTTCAAACATATTTTCTCTCATGGGTTCCGAACTTCCGTACGAATTTGTATACTTAAATTATTTATAAATTTGACTTTTTTGTGTGTTTGCTAAATGCTACGAGTAACGGAGAGAAGTAACGGAGAATGTACAATTAATTCATTCATACCTGATCAATTGACAGCGCAGGACGAGTTGCTTGCTTCAAGGGAGATTATTTGCAGGGAGACGGATGCTTAATTATACTCCGTGTTTTCTCTCTAATCCAATCCTAGTCCAACCAAACTTAGAAATGTTTTAAATTTTAACAAATCAATTTAAAAATAGAAGTGTAAAAAAAGTAGCATTTCGAATTGGTATTAAATGTGTTTTGGGAAATTATGTATTACCATTATGAGTTTTATTTTTTCTCTTTAGTAGCATTTCAATTGTAATATGGTATTTCATCCGTGTATTGTGATTTATCTCATTTGATTTTCCAAAACTTTGAATATAGCACTTTAATCATTAATATCTTTATTTATGTATAAATATATAGTATAAAAATTTGATATTTATTATTTTCTTTCAAAACGAACATGTTTATATTAAATTTGTATCAAAGTTTGATGTATTTTTTGATAATTTATAGTCAAGGTTTCAAACCTTTGACTAAGAAAGTCAAAATAAAAATAATAAAAGTAGACAGAGAGGGTAATATATTTTTTTTGTGATATATTATTTAATATGTAAAATCTATATGGTAAAAGAATTATATACTACACAGATTCTTGCATGTTTTTGTACTTATATTTTACATATAAAGATGTCGTTTACTTTGAAATAAAATAGAAAAAAAATATATTAAAATAAAAAGACCATGGAAAATTGTATGGTCTCACTTCTGTATTTGGAAAAACTAAAAAAAATGTATAGCAAAGATTGAATAAGTAGATAAATAGTTATTCAATTTGATGAATGCATGTAAAATTCTAAAAGATCGAATAAATAGATAAATAGTTATTTAATTGGATGTATATATACATGCAGAATTCTAAATGGATGTAAAAAGTTAATTTTCTAGAACTAGTGAAATGAAAATGACCCATAATTCATAAGAGCACTTACAATGTGGGGGTTTGATCCCTTGTTAATATTTCATTAACTTTCAGCTACGTCCCAAAACACTTACAATGCTATCACTCATATTGCTCTCTTGCCCAACCTTTCATTTCTTTTACATTACCCGTCATTTTTAATCAGAAACTTATTTAAATTTAATAAACTTATTTATTTATTAATAAAACTAGATGAATAATTTAAAAAATAAAAAATATTATGACAATTAAACAATTAAAATAAACAAATAAAATACTAAAATTAAAAAATAATACATTAATAAAAAAGGAAATTTTAACATGCTTAAATTTTAAATCAAAGACGTGCTAAATTTATAAAATTTAAAATTTAAAATAAATAAACATGAAAAAATTAATTCCAGAGAGCCGCAATTAATTCCAGATAGCCGCAATAGCTCACTGCAATGAGATATATACCTCTCCAAGATACCTTCCACCATTGTAGTTGCTCTAAGAGACGCGGTCAATGATATGGATAAAAAGGATAGCTAAATACGGAGTATATTATTTTAAAGGGTGAGGTTCCCATGACTTTGGGTTCCAATGTCATGGGATGACCCAGAGGTGCTCCGATACCCCGTTCGTAAAATTGACAGTTCCTACTCCTCCTAACCCCTTTGGTAAATCCCCTCATCCCGTCTCGACCAGAACACCCCACCCCACCCCCTTCAATTACACTCCACAAGTTGATTTTGACTTTGGAGTCAAATTTTGACTCCAAAGTCAAAATCAACTTGTGGGGTGCAATTGACGGGGGTAGGGGGTGTGTTCAGGTTTGGACGAAGTGGAGGGTTACCGGGAGGTAGGAACTGTTAATTTTACGAACAGGGCACCAAAACGCACTCGGGTCATCTCATGACATTGGAAATATGGATGTAAACAAATCAAATATTTTAAATTCGATTCGCGATTTGTATTCGAATATGATGATTCGAATTCGCGTTATTCAAATACAAATTCAAATATTATTTTTGATTCGAATATTAATCAAATACAAATACAAATAGGGATATATTCGATTCGGATGATATTCGAATATTCGAATATATGTATATATACACAAACCATGTTTTCAACATCAAAAGTCAAGCAAAGTAATATAGTATAAAGTGTATTTAAAATACTAAGAATTCAATAAATTAACGTAACACGAAAATCTAAAGCATATGATTTTTAATAGTTATACAACAACAACAACAACCCAGTTAAATCCCACAAGAGTAGGGTCTGGGGAGGGTGTGTGTACGCAGACTTTGCCCGTACTTGAAAGTAGAGAGACTGTTTCCAAAGAGACCCCCGGCTCAACGTCGAAAGTTGCATTGCTTGACTAACTGCTACTTCATTAATTAAAGAAGCGCAGATAGTTTAGAGATCCATTTTGATTTATTCCATCACACCCCAAAGCCAAAAAATGGTGACATTTTGGCTCCATCGGAGATGATGGAAATAAAGCATATGATTTTTAATAGTTATATTTTATAAAATATAATTTGTGTAAGATGCAGATGTATTAATGTTTTTATATATGGAATATAGTATAATATAGTATAAAGAATATCGTAAGTTAAATTATAAATTGATGTTGGTCCATCATATAAATTACATAGTATGATTATTCAAATATTCGTTTATGATTCGATAAATATTCGAATATTAATCAAATACTTATTCAAATCTTATTTTGAATTCGTCTCATATTCGGGTTCAGATTCGTATTCGAAAAAATTAAACAAATACAAATTCAAATATATCGGTATTCGCTTCGATTCAGTTCGTTTACACCCCTAATTGGAAACATTGGAACTTTCCTGTATTTTAAAAAAGGGATAAGCCCATATTGGCGCAAAAGAAGTATAGTCCAGTTCCTTTGAGGAGTAATAAATAAGAAAAGCCCGTTCAAATATAGACCATATAGGTTTAGCTCATAGCGCTATACAGATATCATCAAACCCTAGTATTACCGATTTATCGACGGTTAAACGGAAACAAAGAAACCCTACGGATATCTCTACTTTCGCCTCTCCGATCGACCATGACCGCCATAACGTCCGATCGTCCCGGTGCAGATTCAAAGCCGGCGGGCAAGCTCCGATGGGGAGAATTGGAGGAAGACGATACGGGAGATCTGGATTTTCTCCTCCCGCCGAAGCAGGTATTTGGTCCAGATGAGAACGGTATTAAGAAAATCGTCGAGTACAAGTTCGATGAGGACGGAAATAAGGTGAAGGTCACCACCACGACACGCACACGGAAGCTCGCCAAGGCTCGTCTCAGTAAACGGGCAATCGAGCGCCGGTCATGGCCCAAGTTCGGCGATGCTGTGCGCGAGGACGTTGGAAGCAATCTCACCATGATCTCCACTGAAGAGATTTTGATCGAGAGGCCCAAAGTTCCCGGTAATCTTTTTTATGGATATATGTTCAATTCACATATTGGTTCTACTTCTGTGTATGTTTATTTTCCTAGATTTGTTTTTTCGTGCTTGTGTTTTGAAGAGATTAATGTTGATTATGATTGAATAATTGAATTTGGTTAATTTTGATATACTTGGAATCATAAATTTAATATTGCAATTTTAAAAAATCCAAATAGGAATTTTAAAAAATCTGAACCATAGTTTTGATGAGAGTCTAGATTGTCCTTCAGTTTAGTTACTTTTTGAAAACAAAAGCACAAATATTATCATCAATTCATCAACATTCAATAAAGTAATACAAGCCACCAACCTCCGCCTACTAAGACATGCTAGCCAAACTATTGTCAATGACTCTTGTACATGACAGAACTCTCCAAGTTAAACTTTACATACTCAATAGTTTGTTGTACAATTACATTATTCTGATGGATCCAGTTGTTTCTTGCTCTCCAAACTCCATAGCAACCACAAGCCCACGCAGCCAGAATCCTCCTCTTATCATGCCTATCATTACTCTTCGTAATAAGCTCTCCAAATTGTCAATGACTCTTGTACATGACAGAACTCTCAAAGTTAAACTTTACATACTCAATAGTTTGTTGTACAATTACATCATTCTGATGGATCCAGTTGTTTCTTGCTCTCCAAACTCCATAGCAACCACAAGCCCACACAGCCAGAATCCTCCTCTTATCATGCCTATCATTACTCTTCGTAATAAGCTCTCCAAAGTCTTTGATGCTTCTTGGATGGCAGTGAATTATGTACGGTTGCAATATAGCTTGGAACACCGTCTTAGCATACTCACACCCACAAAACGAACACAAGCTGCACTTAGTATCAACCTCAATCCATATTTTCATCCTTTCCTTCGTAAGGAGCCTAATATAAATTGGACTTTGGGAGGGGTAAACTTATTCCACACCCAGTCAGCCCAATAGACTTTAGTATTCACCCCTTGGATTTTAGTGGTGGATTGAGTAATTATCAATGAATACGCCTGTTAGTCATAACTCATAAGTGGTAAAAAGAATACACAGTACAATAGTAGATACTGTCATTGTTTTATAAAACAGCCCAGACCATGACACAAAAATCACCTCCAACACAACATTACACTTATTATGATTTATGAACCGTTGGGAGTGTTCTCAACTATTATTATTATTATTATTATTATTATTATTATTATTATTATTGAGTATCGCTGTTGTTATTAGTTTATGTTTCCTACATTGATTGAAATTACATGTGTTTTCATTCCCTACATGCATAAAACTGAGAGAATGTGGTGGTATATCTCTTTCTCAATCTTGAATGAGTTACTGTTTCACATGTATGCACATGGAGTGAGATGGCATGATAGTCACTTAAATTCAACTAACAAAGAAGATCCTATTGATTTTAACAATAACAGGCTCCAAAGCAGCAGAAGAGGCAAAAACAGCGGATGTATTGGCTGCCCTTAACAAACCAGGCGCTGTCCTCATGGTTTGTCGTGCTTGTGGCAAGAAAGGCGATCACTGGACATCTAAGTGCCCATACAAGGATCTCGTCCCTCAAAAAACAGTCAGCTTTCTTGAAACCCCACCAACCTCGGATGCTCCTGGTGTAGGAGTCGGTACCTCCAAAGGAACTTATGTTCCACCGGGGTTGAGAGATGGGGCAAATAGAGCTGCTGGATCAGATATGAGGCGCCGGAATGACGAGAACTCGGTCCGTGTGACCAACCTCTCGGAAGACACAAGGGAGCCCGACTTGATGGAGCTTTTCAGGCCATTCGGTGCGGTGACAAGAGTTTATGTCGCCATTGACCAGAAGACAGGCATGAGCAGAGGGTTTGGATTTGTCAATTTTGTCAACAAAGAAGATGCGCAGAGGGCTATCAACAAACTCCATGGCTATGGGTATGATAATCTCATTCTCCACGTTGAGTGGGCCACCCCTAGAGCAAACTAGGACTAGTTTTATCTTGCCTTTTATTAACAGCATTTCGGCGTTCAGAACTTTTATACAGTTATTTCTGTGTGATGCTTTGTTTTTTTAAGAGATTTTGGGAAATATTGTTAAGCATGTGATAAAGATTTTTTGTTTGTCTTCACATTACATTTTTGTGCGAAGTGTTTATTATGAATCTCTATAAACTTTCAATTACTCAGCTAACTCGTAACATTTCAGATATTTTGGTGTCTTCTCAAACTTTGAGTCTTTTTCATGGGCAAATTCTTGTATAGACCTTCATTTAAGCTAAAATAAACTTTACTTTTAGTGTTAATTTTTTTTTGAGTTAAAGTAAATACTTGCTAATTGCTAATTGAGTTAAAGTAAATAAATGAATTTTCTCTGTAACTTGCAAGTATTTTCTCAGTAATTGCTAATTGCTAATTGAGAAAGTTCTTATTTTTTTCTTCAATTACTTGCAAAATATTTTTTTGAGAACATTGATAGATGGTTACCTAAAGATTGGTGTCTCATTCCTTTATTTTTTCATAATTGCATGTTGGCTACCTAAAGATTTGTGTCTCATTCCTTTATGTAATAAATGAAATAATTTCTTTAAATTAAGTGTTTGATCAATTAAAAGCTAAATTGTATCATCTTTTCTTTGATATACTCCCTCCGTCCCCCTGTATTTGTCCACTTTCATTTTTGCACATCATCCAATACACTTCTTTAATCCATTTTATCTTGTACTTTGTATATTAAAAAATTATAAAAATTATATATTAATAATCTATATGTTAAGACAAATCAAACAAGATCACACACGATTATATTTAGGCTTACACATTGAAAGAATTTGATGAGTCAAAGTGCTTAGATGAACAGTTCCAAAAGTTAAATGTGGACAAATACAGGGGACAAAGGGAGTAATACAAATCTAGAAATTATAGATGAAGAGTATTTTATTTGTCCATTCAAAGTATTATTAGATGTCTTGATGTATCTGAGTCCTTGGGTCGATGAAAAGAATTTATAGATGGTACAAAAGAAATTGTCGACCTAGAGACTGAGAATTAATTACAAAATTGTTCTTACTCCGTATATTACTAGTGACTAGTGTTATGAGTTATCCACACGTTGTTTAAAAAATCATGAGAAGTCTTAGTCGATGTAATTTTATATGATCGAAGAAAAATATTACACAATTGATATATTTTTTTAATCAATTGAAAAATTAGAAACATCTTGAAGAATAGTTCATTTATCGTAAACATTTCCATCTTGCCCAAAGATCTACGGAATTTTTTTTGATTGAAATCAAAAAGTTACTCAATTCAAATAAACTGTCTCTAAAAAAGTTTAGTGGTGATGGGTATATCCTTATACCCGACCCGGATAACCGAAAGGGACAGGTCAAATATGACCGTCACTTTTATCAATCACCAAATGAGGTTAACTCTTCGATTGGGACGGGTCAAAAGTTAACCGGTCACTTCCACTAAAAAAGTAACCGGTCACATTTTGGGCATTAGCCAATTCGTCACTTCATGTTACGAAGGATAGTCTAGAGGACCAAAGAGACGGGTCGAACTCGAGAAATGACCGAACAACCTTGGAGGAAAGATGACCAGTAAGGTTGCGTCACTTGGGAATGACAATCAACGTCAAAGGCCAGGGGACCACCCCGCCGTTCGGCCTTCACGAGGCAAATAGTGAAAGGAACATTTGTCACTTTGCAGGGCTGATTGGATTGAGAATATCCATTTATAGTCTTTGATGGAACAATACATGTCTTGGCTTGTAATTGCTAAATTCATTGATTGAATAGTAGATTGATTATGTACAGTGACCTTCTCACGGGCTTGCTATTTTGTCCATTGATGAACAGGGGAAGGTCACAAATCATCATCTATATATATGATGATATTTGATAGAGGAGGGGATCCAATTTTTCTCTCACTAAAGTTCACTCTTGAGATAGAGTAAGAAATATAATTCAAACTGAGGAGATTTACCCGGTCTAGGTCATACTTTGTGTTCTTGTTGTGTGTTTTATATTACGGGTCGAGTGTGTCCAAATCAAACTCGGTTAACCCACCCGGCTATATTTACACCATCAAGTGGCATGTCATCCCAAGTTAACAACTCATTTTATAGTTTTCAAAATAAATTCTTGATAGAGAAACTGAACAATGATAAAGAAAAATTATTATAAAATCTTAGACAATATTTATCAAGGACAAATAAAGATTAGAGAAAACTTACATGTCGAGATAATGGGAGTTGTGAGTTGTGACAAATGGGATAGGGAAAGTCAAGTCATGAAGAATAATAGAGATAATGTTAGACTATGTGTGGTGGAAGGCTTGACACGAGGGTAGATATAAAGTGATGAAAATGTGTGTTATGGTGGGTATGTGGCTTGATTGGTTTGGAGTAAAAAAAAGAAGACAACGCCTGTGACCACCATCAAACCCACTTTGTCACTCGGCAATGGCGCACAGTGGTTAGGTCATGACAAGGCATGACGCCCTCATTCAAACCCTAGATCAAACCCCACTACAGATGGTCTTCGAGTGGAAGTGGTTAATAATAATTAATTTGCAAGGTATAAATTTTTGTGAAAAAAAGTTCTCCTTTATCTTAAGTGGGGACAACTCTCGTTCACTTTCTTAAGTAACAACAAGACAAGAGTGAACAACGAACTTTTTGCATTTGCTTTTTGAATCTCCTTATAGCAGCATTCCCGTGGAACTCTTTATTTCAATCTCAGAAGTTCAATTAGTGTGATGGACAAGAATTCCATGGTCGAGGATTCGCTTCTGATTACTGACCCGAGGTCACGGGGAGCTATCCAAAGTAAAACTATGTATCGACTAGTGCAGGGTTCCGGTCTAGTCACATCTTAGTCTCTTATCCAAGGTTAACCTAGGTAGGTCAAGAGTTTTCTAAATACCCCCAACTATCAATTATAAAGTGAGAATGTGTTCTCAATAAAATTAAGTACGTGAAAAGTATTCTAAAATGATTAACCCGAAATGCTCTAAAATATATTTACATATTATATATGTCTTCTGATTATTTGTCACTCAGTAAAACTGAGTGTATAGTGTTTAACTGCACGTAGGTACTAGCAAATAAAAACAACTAATAAGGAGGGAAAGCATATACGTGGAGGTCGTGCCGATAAAAGAATTCCAATTTGATTTTTAATAATGAATAAATTATTGAACTTACTCTTTGTTGGGTTGGGCTTGAATTCAAGTTTTTTACAGACTTACACACTACCTGTTGGGACTGCGCGTGCCCTCACCCCAACCCCGCATTAGTATGATATTGTCCGCTCTGGGCCAAGTCCTCACGGATTTGTTTTTGGGCACCTCCCAAAAGGCCTCATACTAATGAGGTTGGTGAACCTATATATTTTGGTCCATTTTTTCTTCTCCCTCCGGTGTGGGACTTGGAGGAATCTCCATTAAACCTCCACTCAACCAAGGACCACACAATTTCCGACCTCCCCTCCAGCGGTAATCCGTTTTTCCTTTTTATTTGCTAACCATCTTGCACCGCCGCACACTCTTTGCGGGACACGCCGCCCGACCTCCTGTCGGGAAGACTTTCGACGCAAGGCTCGAACCGCAGATCTTTCCTTCGCTAGGCTACACCATTTGATCCGCCAAATCATCTTATACCGCCGTGACTATAACTTCATGGGACGCGTCGCCCGACCTCCGCTCGTCGGGAAGACTTTCGACACAAGGCACCACCTGCGGATCCTCTTTCTTGGTCTTGGTCCTAGTTACACCGTCACACCGAGATTTTTCCACACTGCACAGTCCGCTACTCCCGACCGCAAGAACCTGGGCTCCGATACCACATGTTGGGACTGCACGTGCCCTCACCCTAACCCCGCATTAATATGATATTGTCCGCTCTGGGCCAAGCCCTCACGGATTTGTTTTTGGGCACCTCCCAAAAGGCCTCATACTAATGGAGTTGGGTGAACCTATATATTTTGGTCTATTTTTTCTTCTCCCTCCGGTGTGGGACTTGGAGGAATCTCCAACACTACCGAATTTTGAAATAAGATTCGTGCTTCCGGAGTACCAAATCATGAGCTCATCTTGAAGATAAGCACTCTCGTCAAGTTGCTTAGAAACATTGATCATTCGATGAGTTTGTGTAATGGTACACGATTGATAATAACTCGGTTGGCTAATCATTCAATACAAGGGAAAATATTGCCTAGAACGCACATGGGTCAAGAGTTGTTATTCCATGGCTATCAGTAACACCCTCAAATTCAAGAATTCCCTTCGAGATCCAAAGAAGACAATTCTCTATGGCCACTTCATACGTAATGACAATAAATAAGAGTCAAGGCCAAACATTAAAACATGTCAGATTATTGTTACGGAAACTAATTTTTAGTCATGAATAACTATATGTTGCGTTTTCAAAAGTAACAAATCGTAATAGCTTGAAAATTCTTATTGACGATGTAGAGCATGTTTCCCCCAAACGTACCACCATATAGTTTACAAAGAAGTTTTTCAAAAATTATAAATTATATGATATTTTTGTTTGATATAAACTAAAAACATGATGTCTCATTATATAATTTATTTGTTTACTTTTTAACAATGCCTACGAAGATTTATAACACAAATATGAAACGTGCAACGCATGTGTGTAATATATAAAGAAAGAAAACAAACAAAGTCAATGAACTTTTGTTTAAAACGACCATTGTAAAAACCTATTTGTTCTTTGTTTGTTCTTTTATCAATTTTATCCAAGGACAAACAAAAGATAAGTGTGGAGATTTATTGGAGCTTAAAAAGTTAAAATTTTTATACTTTTAATTTTTTAAAGAATTGCTTTTAATTTTTTTTATCATAAAAAAACCTTTTAATAAAAAACTTTTAAAAATTTTAGTTTTTAAAATTAAAAAAACTTTTATACATAAAACGATTCATTTTGTGTTTAAAAATGTTAAAATATATAGGGTGAGTTTTTGAATCGTAATTGGGTGAGAAGCCATATGACTATTCATTTGAGTAAACTTGGATCAAAATTTACTTTTTTGGGTTTAAAATTAATTACTACTTATGTTCTTGAGTATTTGTTCAGTTTTGACTTTTTTTGATCAATTATTTTCAACATTTGGCCATAATTAAATAATATATGTATTATATATTAATTAGATAAAATAATATTTTGAAAACATTTGATGTAATAAATCTAATAAAATTGTTTTTATATCAATATTTAATATCATTTTTAATTTTATTTAAAGTCAAAATTTACTAATTTTGAAAAGGAAA